AAACTTCGTCTAGTTTTTGTTGCCACGTATAAGCAATCATTCAATCCAAGGCTGCGATAAGCTGAATTTTGAAAGCTTTAATTGCTTTGATCATTCGTCCGCGCGCTGTAAATTTCCGTCGCAAATAAAAGTGTCTATGCAATTAAAGAGAAGTGTCTGTAGGATTTAGAATACGTTAAAATTTTAATTGACTTTATACTTTATACTTAGCATACTAAAGGCATAATTTTAAAAACGGACTAGTACGCCTCCATGATGTAACATAATTATTTTGTTATTGAATATGTAGCCACTACAAGTGTGCGTGAAACGGGATAAACATTTGTTAATATAATAAAATTTGAAATACTTCTATTTTATGCCGTCTAACTTGATATTAACAGTTTTTTGATATAATAAACTAACATTTTATTTTCAGATTAATTGATATGTAAAGGTCTCCATCTCGATATATAAGTTGAATAAAATTGAACATTGGTTTCTTCGGTGTTGATTACAAGTATATAATTATATCATTATCATATCAAGTAGTTTTGAGAGGAGTAAGGTGGTGAAGGTGTGACGAGAATGTTATGAAAAGTGTGATCGGGCGAGACGAACGAAGTTGAGAGGGAGATATAAGTTTATGAAGATAGATAGATAGATAGATAGATAGATAGATAGAGAGAGAGAGAGAGAGAGAGATTACATTTATATTACTGTGGGGGTTAGAGAGAGACTTACAAGCACACATTTTCTTTCTCTCTTTTATTGCACTTATTGTGCTAAGTGAGAGCACTGGGCTTTAAATATATATATATATATATATATATATATATATATATCTCAATAAGTAGTTAGTTTGCGAATTTGCTGCGAATTCGCCGAAGAACCGGAGTCCCCGACGTAGCTCTCTGAATCTGCAAGATGAAGTGGCAGTGCTAGCGTTACGCGATCGGTGATTTCTTGGTTGTTAATTTATCAATGATAACCGATAATAAATTAAAAATATTTATAGAAAATTATCCATTTATATTATGCATAAAATATATACATATATTCAGATTGAGTTAAAGAATCAGTTTTACTTCAGTCGTGTGGTCTAAAGCATACTCGTTTAATATATTGCATTATATTTTGGATTGCCATGAATATAAACTTATTCAGATGTAGTAATAGTTATCGTAACTACTGGGACCTAGAAGGTCTCTTGTAGTCTTCTCTTCGAGAAATTCGCCAGATAACACTACACACAAAGTTAGTGAAACCACAAACACCATAGTTCGTCCGGCGACACCAACACAATGCGTACACTAGGTACATATGCGTTCCAGGGCGGATCTCGCCGCCCCCAGCTACCGATTAATCAAGCACAGGCAACGTCCATCGGCGTCACGGTCCGCACCAAACCTCGATAGCCCATAGGCAACACTCCTCCCTTAGCTAACGCACTCATGAGCACATACTCAGCCCTACCCACTGTAGAGGGCCTCAAACCAGTGGGTTCTGACTAGACCACGGGTTCTGCGTTCGATGAAGCTTTAATAGTCTACGGAGTGAAAGCGCTAACTTCAGTTACAACATAAAAACAAAATAAACCCTTCGATAACATTTATTGTAAGATAATATTCAGTGCCGTAAGGACGTTTAACAGACATAAGTTGCACGTAAACAAACATTCCGATAAAAAATTATCAGTAGGCCTAACAAATAGTTGTCTCGTACTGGAAGTGAACCTATGATCTGCGCCGTCGAAGCCAATACCTTGGCAACTAAACCACGAAGTCGTGTAGATGAATATTTATAACTTTTTAAGTTTTTAAATGTTGAAAAAAAAATTCGCCAGAATTACAGATTAACTAAAATGACTGATGTTATTAAACATTTATATACTCATTTACTTTAAAGAAACAAGTGATTTTTACTTGATTGTTTCGTAACGATCCTTATTTTTCTCCAATGAAAACTCGCACTTCCAAATAACGAAATACGGAATTTAATTGCAACGTTATTAGCATCGTTGTATTAATCCAAGAACTCGTTTTAATGACTAGATTTTAAACAATGTGATTAACGCTAAACTTGCTTCAAATCATTAATATTTTCATGTGTCTGTAAATCGCGATTTTATGATAACACTATTTTTAACTGGTATAATATTTCAAACAATTTAATGAAATATGCATGAGGTATGATGATTTATTTTATATTTACATTTTTAACGATTTACGTTTAAGATTTTTACATTGTGCCATAAAGTTTCGCAACAAATGGCTTGCAGACGAACGCCTCACCGATTCAGGATTATTGCAAGATCAAAACGTGGCGTGAAATGGCCAGTTAGTGAGTAATATCATGTTATTTGGAGGCGACGAGGGCGAGGGCGGTCGTGACGGTACGTTGCCGGTGCGCGGGCCTCGATCACGAGTCGCTCTGCTGACCCTACCGGCTCCGCTTTCGTTCACAACGTCTAACCATACAAAACAATACCACACAACTGCAGTCCTGAGATAAAAGAGGTACCAACCCTACGCCCGTGTCACACGAAATAAAACGTTGCATCGGTTGTAGCACGTTGCTTCTTGCGACCGATAACGAGGTGTCGGATGTCTTAATATCGGATGCTTAGCATGCATTACAATATTAACTGAACATAATTTATTAAACAAACTCCCAGCTGTGTCGTATCAACTGGTCATATTAATGTCGTTTGCTTAACTCCACCGTTTCAATGAAGCTTAATTAGAGGACCGTGCGTTATTACTATGAGGCTGCAGAATCGACGCACAACATGCACGTAAATTGTAATGCGCTTAGGTTAAATTAGTTACATTACCTACTTCTGTTTTTGCAATAGACCGTAAGTATTACTTGTGCTGTTGTACTGCTCATAACCCACTATGCGTGGGAAACATGTGTGTTTTGAATAAATTTTCTTAGTTGAATCCATTTAAATCTAGATATGTAGGTATTGACAAAACGGTTTGGTATAGAAATGAAAATATAAAACCTCTTTGTAACAATAAAAAAAGAAAGTTTGTTTATGGCTCGTAAATCGCTGTTAGGGAAGTGTTTGAACAGATGATTGAGCGCGTGCAATCGGTAAATAACAAGGCACACGGCATTCTAGTTGCCGTTAACTGTCAGGTGTTTTGTGATAAATAGACACACCTTTGTTGCATTTTATTTGTCAATTATTGACGTTGAATTGTATAAGAGTATCATTAATGCCGGTATGACGTTTTAAACTGTCTAACTTATTGTATTTATTGTATACATAATAGCTGTTACGCTGCATTTAACGAAATTACTAAATAATGAGTTGTAAATTACAATCCTACTTTATACCTAGCAAATTTGGAATAGAAACATATATTTAAATGTATTGGGAGTATAATCAAGAAGTGTTTCGTCATTCTAAATTTATTTATAACGTATTAGAGGCAGTGTTAATTAAACCATCCGACGCGGCCGTCGTTAAAGCTGCACTCGGCCTGGCGCCAATTTATGTGTAGAATAAATCGACCATTCAAGGTCGTCTGAAGTGTCTTTTTACCTAAACAAGTCTTCGATCGTTTCCTTAATGTTGGCGGCACATTCGAGATAACAACAGCTATTTTTAAATGCAAACTCTTGTTACCGTTTTTGGTATCTTGGTGATTGACGTTTATGATTTTTTATGGATGTAAGCTGTGTTAACAATAGACATAGGCTTATCACTTACGTTATTAAAAAGCCTTGTCTTTAAAACTTGTCTTGTCACATGTTGTGAGGACGCCTTGCATACACGTGTTTCACACGCAGATCTAGTACAGATAGCTGTGGGTCCAACAAATAAGTATTTGTGCAAGTGCACCGTGTGGGAATCGAACCTATGACCTGCGATTCCAGCGCCTATAGCTCAGTAACAAACGATGTGACGTCATGTGCTGAAATAATTTTTCAATATTAAATGATCATTTGTAAGTATTAAATAAATAATAATTTATTCGTTTGCGACCAACGACCGTCAATATATTTTCAATGTCCGCTATTTTAATTGGATCAGTGAATATACAGTTGAATATAGGTACAACTTATATTTTAATTAACTCTATAAGTCCAGATCTAGTCAGTGGACTACGTGTAAATTCGCTATGTTATTATTACATACTTTAAGTTTAAATACCTTAATTCTAAAGTTACTTATTAATAAAAGATTTGTGCACTAAACTTTGAAGTAAATAAAATAAAGCTTCAAAGTTTACATATAAATATTGCATAACGAATATAAAATATTCTGTAAATATAAAACTTTAAAACATATATGACATAAGATGGTTTCCAACCAGAGCTATTAGCTATAAATTATCACGAAGCCCATGTTTAGATGTTGCAGTTTGCGAAGATATGTTGGCCTCATGGGAACCTCGAATAATCTAAGAATTACACAGTTCATACACGAACACTAAATGTTCGCTTGTAATTTGAGTTTACTGTATATAATTTTATTAAGACGAAATTCCTCCGAGACAATACATGGACGTGATAACTAATGCTATACATCAACTTATCTCGCGAATGTTCTTTACATAAATAGCCTTTTATAGTTAATGGGCAACAAATTACAAATGATCATATCAAAATATATTTATATATAAATACAACTTTTAAGAATTCTAATCGAGGTCGCCTTCTTTCCAAATACTCTGATAGGTAGGTAGGTATGCTAATTACAAAAAGAAGCGCAATAAATAAGCCATTGCTGCTTTTTCGAAATAAAACTGCATGTCATCTCAAGGCCCCGGTCGGCGTGATTATGGCGTGTTGAATTATATTAAGGCGATAATATAATCGGAGGTTTTTTGTAAAAATGGGTGCAGGTTGAGCAAGCGCCGCTGCCATAATGAAATGTGAGCTCAGTGGACGGTTGCGTTGAGTGCGTTATCCGCGATTTTGCGAGCTTTCCGATGGGCGTATATTATTTGGGCGCTCGGTAATGCATTTTTGCAAGCGGAGCGGGCGCGCGGCGTTACGCAAGGATGCCCGGGGAACTGGTCCGACCGGCTCCGGATCTGGGCCAGAGCCATCTCTCCGCTAAGATATTACCGCTAATAGATATTGAACCTCCGGCCACTAGGCGCGCTGCACCGCCGCTTTTGCCCGCCGACGTTCGTCGTGCTCGATTTGCTTTTAAATTGATTATTGCAGAAGCGGCCCGTCATGTTTCCACTCATAAGGCATGTATTATGCCGTAATGGTTAAATAACCTCCTCGGCTTACTTCGTTTTCGTATTATTTAAATGAATCAGTTTAGAGTGCGATAGCTTTATGTTCCATAAGCATATATCACATATCATACGGTCAAATATGGCAGGTAGCCAATTTTGACATTCCACCTATTTCAAAACCTGAAACAAATGTATCAGTGGACTTGTCAACTGATAAGCAACGTGTGAGTTAATCCTACATTGTTGATGAAAAAGAAGTATTTTAAACTATATAAAATAAGTAGTACCATTATTCTTACGCATTTCGCCATTTGAAGGTAATCTAGCCAGATTTCAAAGAAAATTTCTTTTACGAAAAAGGAGACTTTCCCGTAAAAAGGGTAACAAAAATCAGCAGTCATATATAAGTCAGAAAGGGTTACCTCCGTTTTTAAAACAGTAATATTAGTTATGTAGATTTTTTGGTAAATTTAATAAAGTTATTATATCATCACTATTCATCTATTAAGAATATTAATGTTAAGTGTGATATTTTTATAGATCGAAATATATCAGTTTATACATACAGTATATACATAAATAATGCACATTTGATGTTGGATAACGATTATACATATGGATCCGTCATAGCCATTTAAAAATTTTTACGTCCTTCCTCTGAAGCCAATTGAAAAAAAACCTTAACTATCTCTTTTAAGATACAAATGATGAGTCATTGTAACAAATTTCCCTCTGGGGACAAAAAACCAGTGAGTAGAACCAACATTGAATTAAAGAATAATTCCTGCCGTTTTCCGTAGTCGAATGGTAATATCGGAAACGTACAAAGTACTGTTCGCCTTACACAATGGGGGTTTCAGTAAGTGCTGACATTTCATTAAAGTATATTGAAATCGTGAAATGGTCTTGCATCCGATTGATTGAATTGGTGGCCTGTGATCGGCAGCGCGTGCGTCCGCCGCGCCGCCCGTGATTGAATTGTTCCAACTTGCAACATTGAGTTGAGTAGCCCGGTAATGTACCTTGAAAGGCATTATATTTGTGGCTCTTGTTGTTGTCTCCTTTGTCTTTTTGAATTTTAAACAATCAGAGGTGTGTAGTCTGTAGTACAAATGTAACACTGTTCGTTACCGTTATCCGGCATACCGTTCATCTTGAATGTTAAGTATTCCATAATATTGACTAAAATGAACAAAACATAGTATGACATGAAGAATGTATTTGCTTAAAGTTGCATCATTTTTATTTTACCCAATAGTTCTAAACCGCCCAAGCGGGTTTTGTCTAATCACTCTCTCGTAGACAACTGGCAATCATCAAATTAATTATAATAATATTATCTGTGTTTAGATTCAAAATGACGTGCCTAATTATTGTCTTCCAAAATAACAAATCGCTGAGACCTTGGAGCTAAATCTTAAAACGTAAGCGACGTTACCTACATACTTGTACGTGGATATCTCCTCACCCGATAAATCTAATTTATTAGGAGCTCGTGCAATCATGCGCATGTAGCCAGTAAACACAGAGTTTATCTCGGTAAATAACTAGACAGCGGGGAGATTCATTAGGCGTCGATCCGTGTCGGGCTGCGCTGTAATCGAAGCAATTGTTCTCGGGCGGAAATTCAATTATTAGCCCGTGGAAGCCGCGAAATATAAGCCGTTGTGCAACCCGCTGCGTCTTTGGAGCTGTGAAATAATTGCTCGCGATTTATCGGTGCACTCCTGACTATAATTAAACACTAACGCCCGGTTTCTGAAACACTGATCATCTTAGATGTCAACAAATCAGCTGCCAATCTGAATTGATCAGAATGATGAATTCAAAGAGTTGAACAATCCTTTTTGCATTAAAATATGTAGAAACTTGGCAACTAAAATAACTTTTGAAAAGCAATTTGGCAGCTGATTAGTTGACATGGTAGGTATCCCTGACGAGTGGTGTGCGCGGCGCCCTCGTGATTCGTGTTTTTGTAATTCAGATCGGAGCTGTAAAACCTTCCACACCCCGGGTAGGTCGGTCTCACGCTTCAAAACAGCTGCCGCGGTCGGTTTGTGCCTTGTAAATATACCTCATTTAATGTTAAGACCGCAATTTACTTTGTTGTATCGACATCCAACTACGTAAGTATTTACAAAATTACGCACGTTCACCTAACGTATTGGTGAAATCATTACTATAACGACTATTTTTGTCTATTTATACGGTTACGAAATTCTTAAATACGTTGTGAGATGAGATTAAGTTAGTTTGATGGAGCTTTTACATACAATTTGACTGACGTCCGTTGTAAATCTATTAAGATATTAGTTTCTGAATTTAGAACTAGAGGACGGAAGAAAATTAAAGGACGTCTATAAAACGTAATTGTAAAAGAAAATTTAAGAAAATTACAAGCCTCTAAATTTCCTCGTAAAATTTATTTAACTGTGTATAACTTTGGAAAGAATCCTAACATTCATATATACCTACAAAGTGTTTTACATTGAGTTTTGCTGCTATAGATATTAGGAAGACGTTTGTTGTTTCAATAGCCTACGATAAAGATAATCAAGTCCCAAGTTCCGCGTCTGCATATGTGGCACAAACAAGGGCTCTACAAGGCTTAAGCACACTGAACACCGAGCGGGGTATGGCGAACGTGATACTAACTGTGAATTTATGTGAGCCCCATAAATTTTCAATTGTCTGTTGTCATTAAATATTCAGAGTAATAAATCAACGCGTTATCGCGGCTCGTTGTCGTAACGGTTACATCGCGGAGGCTCCCTGCAAATAATTTAAAGATATCGATAGGGGAGTTCAGATTGCGAGCAACAACAAAACGGGAACGATCTCATCGTACCAAGCCTCTGCTTTATATTGCGAGGAATGTTGCTGCATAAGTATAGATAGTATTTTTTGTAAGAAGCCATAGATTAAAAATGCTATTAACGTGATTAAAATTAGTCTGTTTGATTTAATGATTTTAATTGGTTTTTATTTTTATACCTCAGTTTGATAGCTACAGTTTCTGTTAATATTTCACTATTTTATAATTTTGTATACTTACTATTTTATAATTTTGTTTGACAGACAGTCATCTGACGCTGTTTACATAATTTTGTCTCTTTTACTAACTGCGACAAGTTTAAAATAGATCATTTTTCTTTTCTACCTCTCCGTAAAAGGGGAAGATATTTATAACATTAACATTTATTTCAATTTGTGTATAAAACTATAGTTTCTCTGTAAAATACTTCGTGCAATATTGGTCAGGGATACGTGAAACATCGATTCTTGGGTGCAAACCGTGAGATGGTACGAAAGATTTGGGTGCCATTTTACCACAGATAATAATTACGATGTGCGAATATTGCGGTTCTTTAGATTATGCTTTGACAAATCACGACTTTGCAATTCGAATGCAGCAGATTTAATGTATGGGCGGCAGTTTGCATTCTACTTGCGACCCGACGGGCCACCTCTTTCCTAATGCACGCTTATTTGAGCTTTTTAACCTTTCCTCCGTTGTCGATTTTGTGAATTCAACAATGAACTTTAAACTGATTCTTATTCAGTCTTTGATCCCGATTAATCGTAATGAGTGAATAGACAATTTTATGACTCGATTGTCCTTTAAAAGGGATAGGAATCTTATACATTTGCTTTTTTAGGTTATTATTGCTTTATTAACACCTCCTTGTATAATACTTTAAGATGTGTTTATTTTATTTTATGCGAAAAGTTGTCAAACGAGCAGACGGTTCACCTGATGTTAAGTGAATACCGCCGCCCATGGACATCTGCCACACCCAAGGGTTACAGATGCGTTGACAACCTTTTGAAAATTGGGCTCCGGGAACCTCACTCACCAGACGAAACGCGAAAGTATTTGTCATACTTCCACTTTACGCTGGTCTTCTGTGAGGTCACGGTACTTACCCGGAGGGGCCTGCCCATTCGTGCAACAGCCGAGGCTGCAGCGTGGCCCTACCACCGTAAAAAGATACTTTGTGTATGATACTTTGTGTGTACCGTGTAGATACTTTTAATACACATTAACATTTCATACTTCAATATAGGATCTACCAAAAACTGCTTGAACTACCGGCTCATCTCCCTCTTCTCATTCGATAAAAGTGATGCTCCACATCATGATGGATTCATGAAGGGAAGAGGCATACGGAAACAGATACTTATATTACGGCAGATCATTGAGAAATCAAGGGAGTTCAACACACCACTCTTCTATTGTTTCGTTGTTTTCGAAAGGCATTCGATTCGGTCATATGGGATTGCCTATTGAAATTCCGCGGCATCTTACGGTATTTTAGTTGGAGGGCGAGTGATTAACCATCACTCACAATACGCTGATGACACTAAGCTTCTGGCAAGAACAAAAGGAAAATTTAGAACAGCAGCTGGCTCACCTTGAATCCACCAGTGTCAAGTTCGGTCTCACTCTAAATATAGATAAGACGAAGATCATGGTAGTAGACCTGGCTGAGCACAATACGCAAGGAGTCCCGTATAGCAAACTGTGAAGTAGTGCAGAGCTATAGTTATCTCGGCTCTACTATATCCAACCTCGGTGGATGCGAAGACGAAATCAAGCGTTGATATGTTATCACATGTTCAGCAATAGAGCGTTAGGGAAAATTTGGAACGACAGACGTACAAAGGTTCGACTAATAAGATGTCTGGTATTTCCAATCTTTTTGAAAATATGGGGCTGAAACATGGTCTCTCAGATTACAATTCGCCGAAAAATCGATGCCTTGGAGATGTGGTCTTGGAAACGACTTTTGAAAATTCCGTGGACAGCGTTTCGGACTAATGTTTTTATCCTCAAAGAACTCCTTATACTAAATAGACTTTTGTCGACTGTTCAACTACGAATTCTCAGGTTCTTTGGGCACATCTCCATAAAGGAAGATTTCATGGAGACACTTGTCGTTCAAGGCCATGTAGAAGGCAAAAGACCTCGGGGTCGAGCTCCCACGCGCTGGATTGACCTCATCATCAGTACTTCTAAAGCCACCGCAGTACAATGTGCCCGCAATGTTAACAGCCGCTTCCAATGGAGGAACATTGCTAGACGTGCGGCTGCCTTGGAAGCGAGCGACGACGAGACGCAACCCTGTACACCGATAGCCACGACCACTTTGCCAAGAGTGTCTGACTAAGAAGAAGAAGAGTTTAAAGTAATTTAAAACTTTTATTTTTAACAAATTGTAAAAACGTGTGTAAGCATTAGATTTAGATATCACGAAATAATATTAAAATTAACAGCCATAAATTTCCTTAAGATTTATGAAATTATTATTATATAACTTTGTACTTGTAATAATTTTATGAATGTAGGTAATTTATATTATTTTACAATTGGGCAACAAAGCACAAAATCTGTGTAAAATGTACAACATTGTAACGAATTATTACAATTTTATGGAACACACACATATATAAATATTTTCCTAATTTTTTAAATTTATAATCATATAAGGCTGGTGTTAATATCCGCCTAGCTCTTACAGACATAATAATAAGTTAGAGCTCTAATATCAATAAATAAAAGCTGCCGTAAATCGATCATCTCAATGCAACTATGCATTTTGTAATCACTTGGCATATGTCTGATATGCCTAATAATAGTGTATAGATTATTAGAGTATACACACATAAATCGCTGTTAACATGTCTATTTATGAAAGTTACAATTTATGAACGTATATAAAATTATTAATTTGAACTTTACAACTCATTTAAAATCTGCTGCTGGCAACAAGTTAATTGGTAATTGAAATAGTGAGTTATGATATGAATTGCAACGTGCTGGATGCGGAAGGAAAACACCGTGAGGACAATTATTAATTAAAGTTAATGACAAAAAAATATACTTCACTTCGAAAATGTACTTCTGCCTAGTGTGGCGGTGAGAAATAAATTTAAATGTATTTAGGCTTCTTCTGAATAAAGTGTATATTATTATAAAATATGTAAAGCACAGATCCCTCTGCCTAAAGGAGGCTTATGTCCATATACGCACAGGCTCTTATATAAATGTTACCTTCAAAGGTTGTGAATTAACTTTCGCAATTACAAGTAATACATTAGATTCTAGACTATAAATTTATTCAAGGTAATTTTTGTATTATAAACCTCAATTTATAATACAAAAATTGTAATGTGTTAGAAATCTGCATCCTATTAGGAGAAACGAGAAAGTTTATTGAATAGTAATTGCGCTGGCAGTGCCTATGAGTAAATAAACCTAGGTTAGGGACTGAAAACGTTTCACCAAATGCTATATAATCTTCTGTAAATTGCATTGCTTGGTATATTATAATAAGGACTTTTTCGGTGGTAGGGCCACGCAGCACCCTCGGCTGTTGCACGAATGGGTAGGCTCGTCCGGGTAAGTACCACGACCCCAGAAGACCGGCGTAAAGTGGAAGTATAACAAATACTTTCGCGTTTCGTCTGGTAAGTGAGGTAGCCGGAGCCCAATTTTCAAAAGGTTGTCAACACATCTGTAACCCTCGGGTGTAGCAGATGTCCATGGGCGGCGGTATTAACTTAATTTAAACTTAATTCATGCGTGTAAATAGTCTGTAAAGTAAAAAGTTGCAACCTATAATTTAGTACACACATAAAAAATAAAGTAGAATTTGTTAGTGAGGCTATCACTTACCGCATTTGGAATTGCATTAAAGTTTTAAATTTTAATTTGTTTCATATTTAGTTAACGTATTGCCTACTTTATGTTTTAGGGAATTTATTGTAGATTTTTTTGCTACTCCGCAAGTTATCCTAATACAAAGTTACTTACTACATGCTATTCTTCGTCGTCCATCTTACAAAAACTATAGAGTTTGACTAAATATCGTATTAAATATTTATAGACAGCTGCCTGCAATTAAGTCATTTAAACTATAGTGAAAACTTAGTTCATTACTTAAATGTTTAAATCGGGCAAAGGCTGCAACGCAACTGTCAAACTTGTCTCCGTTTTCTTCGAACTAATTAATAAATAATAAATCGCCTTTCTTGAAGAAATCGCAAGATAATTATAGAAAATCATCGGAATGTTCGATACCAAAGTGCCAAAACCATTAAATCAATTAATCGGTAACCATTATCTGCGCTTGGCACATGGAAACGGCGCTCATCAAGATCGAGCTCGAAATTGGTTTCATTACAACCTGTTATTACTATATTTCAAAACTAAGGTACACAACGGACGACTGAGATCTTAATACGGGCATTGTGGACGGTTTTGCCGGAATAATTGCTCATTATCTTTTAAATGATGAATCGAAATTCGAAACCGACTCGTAATTACCAGGCAAACCTTAACCCGATTACGTAATTGCCAAATGGGATTGTAGTGATATACTGTGTGTGTTTGTGGTGTACCAATATAATGAAATATCGAATATAAAATTCTGTTTTTAGGATAATTGATATTAGTTTTGATTGTTAAAATTATTTAGTTTCATTAACTTTTTCATATTTCTTTAAGTTATAGAAAGGACATAATTATAAGAGACTACTGCCCGTTTAAGACTTTAGGTGACACATAAGCGGTGGTGAAAAATAAGTTAGCACTTAAATTTTTTTAGCTGTTCCTTAAAGTTTCCCTTTATTCTGACTGTGTTGGTGACTCACCGGATAAAACGCAGATGCATAACACTTCTACTTCACGCCAGTGTTCTCTGTGGTCGTGGTACTTCTCGGAACGGACCTGCCCCTTAGTGCAACAAAGAAGATTCTTGCGTGGTCCTACCACGGTTAATTAATAATTAATTATTTAATTATTAAAAAACTTATACAGTATTTAATATATTACAGTTAAAACATTCAAATAATAATTTAATTAACATGTATCATCTACAGCAAAATGAAACAACAAACAAAAAAGAAGTATATAGTAATAATCTAATATTAATATTTTCTGTGGTTATGGAGTTATGTAACTTTGAAATAAACCCGAGTTTTAGTTTTGAAAGTATTATTACAGTTCCGATTACCTTAAATAAGATTATAAAAGAAATGAAAACCTAAAACTACTGTTAAGAGCACAATTTGGCAATTACATACCTACATGGTAAGATTGCACAACAGCGATCAGGGTTGTATTGCTAACAAATCTAAAATGAAGAGGTATAAAAAAATTAGTAAAACAAATTTAGTAACAAGATAACAACAACAAAAAAATCAAATAACATACTAAGCAGAAAAATATTTTCTAAGGACTACATTTATCAAATAGAAGTTGCAGTTTATCAAACAAGTTTATTTCACGTAGTATCAATTTCTTATCAACTGTAATCTCCGCTAAGATTTACTGTGTGAACGTATTTAATCTGCGGCTAGCATATAACGTTGTTTGTTTGACAGTGAAATAATTTACTGCTTCGATATTAGTTATTTCAGTCGGGACTGTATAATAAAGTAGAATGTAATTTGCCGACCCTACAATTTTATTAGACAAAATGAGGAAGGTTAGTTTTTATATAAATAAAAAATGCAAAGCTGATCTTTCTTTTTATGGTACAGGTATCATCGCGGGCGAAGGCTGAACAACTGGCCAAAGTTTCGACGATATCAAATAATAGTTTAGGAACGAATAAAGCACAAAAATACATTTTTTTAATTTATAAAAGTATGTGTACGCACGTAAGAAGTACTACTTTAAGTAATACTACTTTAGCGTAACAAAACAAAAATAAACTAAAAGAAGAATAACTTCAAAAAGAAAATTAAGTTAATGTACCTCTGTGTAATTAATAAATACTATGGTATTTATTAATACCATAGAGTAGTAGAGTACTATGGTATTAATAAATACTATGGTATTTATTAATTACACAGACGAGAGCATATATAAAGCTGATACGATTACAGATTATATTGAATACTAACGTATTTATATTTACATACAAATAAAAATGACAAACACAGTTGTTACAGTTGTCTCACAATGTGACGGTTAAAAATTATTTTCAAATATTATCATATCTAATAAATGCTCGTAGATTATTGCTTATCTTCGGTCTAACATAAAATAACTTGTCTAGCCTATGAAAATTAATTGATCACTATTAAATTGTAATTCCACAAAGTCACACTGGTTAACGTCGACCAAATTGTTTATGCGGTACACTTTAATTATGGTTATAATATCTTTAGATTTGGTTAACCTTTATAGTTTAGCAATTGTGAAAGCCGAGGGAGATTAAGAGATTGGTAAGATTTGTCATTTACCTGTTACTCTGTATCGAGTGAGCTGGTTAATTGGTTGACCTGACCCCGAAAATGCCAAAGGGTAAAAGTTAAAAATTTCGCCATTCACTTAACAAGGTTTTCTGCCCTGTTTATATACGTTACCGATACATGCGATTTGGCTTCACATTTCGATTAAAGGAATTGTTACATTTTCATTGCTAAATCACTGTTACTCATAACTTGATAACAGTAATTAGAATTAATTACTTTTAACTTTCGTGAAAGGGATTGTTGAGGGCTTAGATAAATAAATAACAAAATATAACGTTATAGTCCGTGTATTAAGATCGATGTTTGTACGTCGGTTTTAATGTCCATTTACTATTGCACACGACGTTAACTTTGCACGACATGACTCTTGGGGTCGGCGTAATTAAAATTTTAACATCTTGACGGCAAACTGTCGGTCGAATATAATCTATGTCCTAATCGTGAACAATTCATGTCCGTTCTCTAATGTACGGCATTAGTTTATGGCGTGGGGGTTGAAAGGTTTTAGTACCGATTTTGCAAGAGATTCCGTTGCGGGCCGTGCAGATTGCTTCGGGCGTATCTGTGTAGGGAATAGCGGAGGGTTACGCAAGTCTTCGGTATGGATGGTGGTTGCTGAGGGGTAGGAGGGGTGGGGTGGGGCGGGGCGGCCGGGGAAAGGCTGGGCGGGGCAGCGTGCGCGGCGCCGCCCACCGTACATTTCACCACCGCCGCCGACGTGCCTCCGCCACGATCCTCGTGCGCGGCCTACTTCCCTCGACAGGTTCGCTCTTGGTGTTCCATTGTGTGCCAACATCTCTGAACAATGCCGTTGCGAAACACCCTGATAGCATCCACACAAGACGGACCATTACCGACCGCTTTTAGGCGAAATAAAGCACGTTCGGCCGAAGAGCTCAAATTCCACGACGATAACTATTACTAATATATCACTTTTGACAATTATTCAAAATTCAAATGCATCTATTTACTGTACTACTAACTAACTACTACTATGATCGCGTGTTCAGGTATAACGTGTTGAGTGATCGTTAAGAAATAGCTTAACGGTTCGCAGCTGGACCAGTCGAAAAAATTCTAAAGTCGAATTAATTTGTAAAAGAAAATTGATCAACTTTAACTGTTCCCTAAATGCCTAGAATAGCGATAGTTACTATGCGATGCAGGATGGTAGTGCATGCTTGGTTGTTACGAGCATTTGGCTCGCGGAGGTGATTGCGCTGAAAAGCTTCAATTTGAAACGTGTTCGCGCCGCATTTGGGCCTAAATAAGACGTCGCCGTTCGTTGCGGTAAAGAGATCGTATTACTCTCATTGGAGCCTGCAGGCTTGAATTATCTGGTCGCCGACGGCGGCAGCGCGCGCCGCTGCGCCGCGTAGCCCGGCTATGAACCTGGCTTGTCAGTGGCACGATGCAGCCAAATATATAGCCCAATTTACGCAGCCGGACCGTAGGAAATTGCTGTTATGTCGTAATACTTGATATTTTCAAATAATTCACAAACTAACTTCGGCAAAATAACTAACATCATTAAATGTACAACTGAACGTAAAACTATACAATAAAAGTAAGTAGTGTACCTGCGTTTAATGAAGTTATTTTCTACCGTGGTATTCTCTCACAATACCTACCGTAAAAACGTGGCAAATACAAAATCGAATTAGACAAACCATATAGAAAATTAAAATAGATTATTGCTTATCTTTTTGTCATAAATATTTTGCATTTGATTGTGGTTACTTAAACTCTACTGGTAGATAAACTCATTTAAATTTCAACAATAATACCTAATTGTGGAAGGCGTGTCAGAGCACGCGTCTTTCATCTTGCTGTCACACTACACCGGTAAGTCTTCCATTCTACAAAATATCAGCTGAAGATCATGTTAAATAAAGCTTGTATGCATAATAAAACCTGTTTTGTAGAAATATGTAATGTTTTTACGTATAGAAGTCGAACAATAATTATTGTTGCTGCCAATGTAGTGCATTTCGTAACACGGCGCATTCCTAGAGCAGCTTAAGCTGGTAGGTTGTGTTCAAACTATGCTGTGCCCATATTTTCGCGGCGATGTCACAGATCCCGAAAGGTCGCTGAACCGAAACCCCATTGTTTTGTGTTGCGTCAACGAATCGTCTGCCTCGAGATACAATGAATTGAATTTGTATCGTAGGTACTATTGTAGCAACAATTGCGTGACTAATTTATTTTATATTATAAGCGTAACGGGTATGCGGTACAATTATTATTTTCACAACAATGAATCAGGTGATGCTCAACAATTTAATGCAGATGAAACTGCAGTGTTCGACATTTCTTAAATGACTGTAACATATAAATAATTTAGTAGAACAATTGGATAAAAAATTGTTTTAGCATAATAAGCCTCCACTTGAAACTTATAATTTATAGATGTTTTTTAACATTGCTTGCGCCTTCTAGTATCCATCCTTTACAGTAAACACACTTTCTAAAATTACATTTTTCAATTAGTATTTGATTTTCTATAAAATACAAAAACAAAGTAGCGAAGACGTTGAAATTTACACGCAGTGAGGATGAGAGTTTTACGCGGTTGAATCCTTGTCTGCGACGATTTATCTTACAATTTATCTACGCATTTGTAATTGAAGATGTATATATAAAATTTAATATTATATTTATGCATAAAAAATAGAAATATATGTACATATACAAGTAAATTAGAAGTTCTTTAAGGCATTCAAAGATCGTTGTAACTGCAAAAGTAGAACTTTTTTACCCTTAACTTGTAAAAGTGTAAGCAACAAACTGTAGAGTAAAATTGCAAATTAGGGGAATTGTATTGAATAAAACAACACCAAACTGGTATAAATGTAACGGCTTAGTGCAAACGCGCTAGAAGTCAACACAAACATAAAAACAATAACACCTGTCTATAAAGAGCATTAATTTTTCTTATCTTTATGTGTTTAATTCAGGCAACGTTAGTCTATTGGTAACTTTGCGTGTCCGTTAATAACCATACTATAAATAAGGTAGATAAAAAATATTGCAGCCCAGAATACTTTAAAATATTTAAAAAAAAAAACTAAAGTTAAGGATAGTTTGTATAAAATTAAATATTCTGCAGTCAGGACTTCAATATCTGCTTCGTAGTTTGCAGTTTACAATTTCTGAATATGCTTTTATACGCTTTATTGCACCTGCAGTAACCAAAAACTTGTAATAGTACTTGGACAATACTTCTTCAACGAACTGGTCCATTCCGCACAATTCCAATCCATAAGATTTCCATAACAAGTTTAATTCAAATTAATAACTATGTTTACCATTAAAAAGTAAAATTAAAGTAACAGCCTATACATGTCCCACTGCTGGGCAAAGGCCTCCTCTATACAGAAGGTATCAGGGCATAGTCCACCACGCGGCCCCACTGCGGATTGGCGGACTTTACATATCTTCGAAATATTTTTTTTTGTTATTATTTCGAAAATATGCAGGTTTCCTCACGATGTTTTCCTTCACCGCAGAGCACGTGATAAGTCAGCACTTAAAGTTAAAAACTTCATTGGTGCCGGCACCGGGGATCGAACTCAGGTTGCTCGAGTATAATGAAGGCGAGCGCCCGGACACTGAGCTATCACGGCTCTTACCATTCAACATAAACATTATTTAATGCAATTTCAATATAACGGCCTATTTTCCGGTATACTGAAACTTTCACGGATAGCCCAATGTTATAAATCCGAAATACAAGTGGCGGAACAATGGCTTCTGTCCGGTTGTATTTCATGAGCTCTCGTGAAGCCGTTACCGCTGCTTAAGCGATAGTGCGAAGCCTATTGTTTCTAGTAATTTCAGAGACAGCATTATCAACCCTCGAACAAAGGCGTTTATCTTGAGTAGTCTTCCTAAATGGGTATAGCGTTTTGGAGTGCGACGCAACGTGGGCACGAATTGACAATAAGAGCAAAGTTCAACGGCGATCGGGGCTGGCGAGGAATGCGCGGGCGAGCATTTACGAAGGTGCCGCCACTAGACTTCGGCGGACGTACGTCACGATTATCAGGTATTTATATTGCCCTCTTGGATATGGCTGCTGTGGGCGACGATATATTGGGATGTACTTTTTGAAAGGAGGTGCTGGTGTAATTTTGTGATTACCGATTCAACGAAACGAAAAGAAATAATAATAAAATTATTTTATCCAAAGTCCATATAATCACGAAAAAATATCTTTTTGATATGATATGATCTTGGTTTCAATTACCAGTGGTTTTGGTTACCAAAGAGGTTTTTTGAGAATAATTATGTGAAATTTGGGGGCTAAAATGTTATGTCTGTTATGTAAGTAGATAAAACTTTTCTATGTAACCCCTTGCAATTTAGTGGCTGTTGAAAGATTGTGATAAATTATTTCTTTAATTATAAGAGAGGCGACGGGAATCGAAGGGAATGGGTAGGCCACATCACTCACCCCTCGGACCGGGTTCCCACCTTGACGTGGCGGAGGGGTTTAGTAGCCGTGGCTTGATCACCCACGGTGAAGCTAAGAGAAACCCACACTGGGCCGGCCTGTGGTGTAAATCCGGCCCGAGAGGGTTGCTTCAAATAGGCTCATTGAGCCCACTCTGGATGCGTGCTGGAGGGTGCAGGGGACAGGTCGACGGTGGTAGAGGTGGAGCCAATCTCTCTGTCTTCTGCTACCGAGGAGAAGTCGCGGGGGAAGAGGAGTATCGGTATTGCGTTGGCCGTGCTCCCTATCCTCTGCGACTCGGTTTTACCGCTGATGCAGTGGCGGTAGGGCTGCGGGGGGAGAGGAATGTCGGTATTGCGGTGCGCTGTTTTCCCTGACCTCCGCGGCCGAAACGTGGTGAGCGGCGGAGCCACAGACCAGGTCCGCCGCTGGGGGCTAGGAGGCTTGCTGCTTATTAGCACTGGTTTCCGGGCTCCCATGAGCCCGGTCTGCGAACTCGGGGGAGTTCGCTGGCCGTGAAAATGGGGCCGAGTAGGAAGGCGCGCTGAATGTTCCAGCGCGCATGACCTGTAGGAGAGGGGAGTTGTTCCCCGGGAGGGGTCTGCTGAGGCGGTCAGCGCTGGCAGGGTTGCGGAAGTGTGCGAAAGCGTTTCCGTGACCCTGCCGATATGCGCCTAGGTGTAACATCGTGGGGGGTTCTAGTCGGTGCGAGTCCGACATAACCGCTCTCTTGCCCCCGCAAAAAAAGAGGCCACATCACTCAAAGAGGTGATAATCGATGGGGAAGAAATTTTCAAGAGTGGTGACCATGAACCGGAAGATAAGGCGTAGCGTTGATAGGTTAACCGTGAGAGTGGCGGGGCACCGATGGATGCAAATGGCAAGGTATCGTACATTGCAGCGGTCTAAGGGAATACCTTTGTTCAACAGAGAACGTCTTCCGGATGTAAACGATGATTTAGAGAGGCGAAACATACGATTGTCGTTTTGGAGACTAGCTAAGGAGTGCAAACGGAATTACGTTTGGTATCACAAAATTAAAAAAAACTTCTTAACTTCGTAACAACTTCACTTTGAGAATGGGCAGGTCTGTCCGAGTTAGTACCACGATCATACTGAAAACCGGTGGGAAATTATTAGCGATAGAAATTTTACACTTGTGCGTTTTTTCTGGTGAGTGAGGTAGCCGGGGTCCACTTTATTAAAAGGTTACAACGCATCTGCAATCCTACGCCTACGCTGCAAATGTCCATGTCGATTATCACTTAACATCAGGTGAACCACCAGCTCATTTGTCCCATTGTCACATAAAAAAAATCTCTTAAAAGCTGTATAAA